TTTTTTTAATTGATTGATGATTGATTCAATCAACTAATTTGTTGATTGTATTAACTTGATTCTTTAGATATTGAAAATTAAATAAATAACATTATGTTAATTTAAGCGTACAGAAACGTTGCTGTTGTTCCAGCAAAAATCTTATTTTCACTTTACCGAGTGCCTAGTAGGTAATTTGCAGATTACCTAGATAATCTGAACATTACCTAGGTAATTTGAGAAATGGAATAATTTTCGCAGCTTTAACGGATCACCCTAGTTAATCTGCAGATTAGCTAGGTAAAGCGCACATTAACGGATTTCGAGCTTTAGCGGTAACATATATATTTACTTATTTGATTAAGTTCGATTTAAACATTCTAATAATTTGAACATAATTATATTTTTATCAAGTCTTAGCGGTTTTTTAAATCTAAATTTAAATTGGTTTTCTCTTGAATCATCTCTACAATAGAATTGAAGCAGTGAATATTTGAAACAGAAGAATACTTTTCAAGTTCAATACTTTTGAATCAAAGAAATGAGACATTTCAAAGCAAAATGATGACATTTATCTATCGACAATAAAAATGAAAAATACTACTCTATTTAGAATTTCAAAGTGTTTTTATACTTACAGATTCAAATTGGCACTAAACAATTTCAATATATTGAAAATTCCTAATATTTTCGACAGTGAATTATGTTATTGTTTTGGATAATTCTATAAAAAAATTAAAATATTTAAAAACAATAACACTGATAATTATTGTGCTAAATACCAATGATTCAAACATTCATAAAATTGAGCAATTTATAAATAATAATTAATTTGAAAAACTCAATAATTTTTAAAAATCAGAAACGTTGATGTTTTCGTCGTTTAGAGATCTTAAAGGATTATCTGTAGAATTTTTCTTTACAAAAACATATCGTATATATATTTTTTATTCTTTTCGGATGAAAATCTCTTGTTTGTAAAAGCTTGACATTTCTCTTTTCTAAATTCTTTTAAGTCGTTGTCATTCTCAATGAATGAAAAGAATCGAGAATTGAAGCTGCTGAATGAACTTCCATCACCAATCTCTCCTAATAAGATTTCTTTAAAGGTTCACGAAGTTTATTCAAGTTTCGGTCTCGTTCGGAAATGGCGTCAATTGAGACAGTTCTCCAGATTTTTATCAGATCTTAATCTTATTCGAATCATTTTTCGTACTTTTTATAACATCTATTCCTAGAATTTTCTACAGAGATACTAGAAACAATTCTGTGAATGAATCACTGGGTTCTTCTAATAAACTCGTGCTTCACGTAAGAATAGGATTGCACTTTTTACTCCTTTTTTCTTCTTTTTTCTGAAGCAGGAAAACTACTTGAATTCAATTTTCACACTCAATTTTAAAGGTTCTGCTAAAATTGAAAGTAGCACTTTTTCTACTTTCGATAATAAAGCGTTAATATTTTCTGCACTAAGTTTAAACATGATTGATCTTTCATGAACAATTTAGTTATTTCTATTTATTTATAATGTCGTTGCTGTTAAATTAATTTTTTTAAAACCCTTTTTCTTTTTCGAGCAAGTTGCTCAATTTTCAACTATTCGACAACTTAATCGGAACAATAATCGAATGGTTTGACAAAGTTCGTGTTCTTTCCATCATGAAACATTTCAGATATTTTCTTCGATTCATCTAATATAATTTTTCATACTTCACTCTGAATTTGCAACTTCCGAAATATGACAATTAATATAATGCACACGAATGTAAAGTATAATTTAATATAAACGCTTTCATAGAATAATGTAAAACGGAATATGACGAAATTTACTGAATCGGTTAAAGTGAGATATTCTTATTAATCCTTAAATTATAGTATATATTCTACAAATTATGTGTAGACCATAGATCAACTGACTTTAGATGGAACAAGCAAATAGAAAAATACTACTATTGTACTAATGCTAATACTACTATTGCTTATTCAGCAATAGTAGTATTAGCATTATTGCTTAATCAGCAATATGTATTAGCAACAGTAGAAGTTCCTATTATTTATTTTTCTTTGATATTCTTTTCGTTTTCATCTTTTTCTATTTAATGTAGGTTTTTTTATGATCAGACTCAACCTCAATTACTTCCTCTTTCTTAAAGAGGTTCTTATGCAAATTGTCTAATTTGCTATTATTGAATTTAGTAATCTAGAATAAGTGATATTCTCTATTTTCTTTATTGTCCGTTATACTGGATATTGTACTTATCGTTATTTCATTTTATTCAGAATCATCTATTTTAATAAATTATCTTTTTTAAAAATAGTTTATATTCATTTTTATGTGGAATATGAAAATTATCTTAAAAATTTTCTTGATCTAGAGAAAAATTTGGATTGAATATCTATATTTTATGTATGTGTGTATAGGCCCTATATGTATATATTATATAATTAAATTAAATTATTTTTAAAAAATCCAGCAAAGAGTTGCTTAACTTTCTCGGAAACATTTAAAAGTGCATGTGTTGCATGTGTCACCATCTGTTATGATATTTCATTATTAAAATATTTTTATATTTTTAATTATTATAAAATGGCAAAAAAGCTTAATTTGAGGGTCGGGATGGGTTTTATAAAAAATTCTAAATGTTAATAACAAGTAAAATCCAATCCTACTCGAGATATGACACACGACCCTCTTTATCTCCCCACCCCTCGACCTTTAACCGCCGAAATTTAATAGCATCAATTCCGCTAATACACTAACTTCCCTGAATAATTTCAGAAATTTTCGGCAAAAAGCACAGGAGTTATTAAGCTTCAAAGAAGGTAAACAAAATAGGTAAAACAAAATGCCACCCACCCATCCACAAAAAGCACACTAACATTCATAAATACAGAAAAAAAATCAAAACTTTTTTACATTTCTCGACGTTTCATAGTCCTCTGGGTCCAAAAATGTCAAAATCTTGGAGGATCATTTTTGACCGATTGTCATACTTTCCCTCTTACTAGCTCTATTTTTCTGTAGTCAATGCTATTGCATATTCTTAGTCATCTTTTCTAAGATCATTAATATCCGCTAATTATTGTAGTTAATATCTCTAATTATAGCCAATAGGTTTATAATCATAGACACTTCATATTTAGCAAATACGATATAAATTAAAATAATCAGTATTTCAAACATTATTGAACAAAACTTATAATACTTTTATAAATTAAATAAGAAAACGTTTTAAAAATAGATCAATTATAGGAAGTAGATGTATCTTAGCCTATTAAACTTTTAATGAAATGTTTGATAAGTTAGGAGTAACACTTCACATTAATTAACAAAATATAGTAAATAATGTGTGGCTTAAGCTATTAAAGAAATATAAATGGAAAAAATAATTTAGTAGCTAAACTAAACAAGACGTGCTTTAATAACAGCCTTAAGTAGCATTATATTATAATTTGTAATGACAATAATAATTCAATTAACAAAATTAAACATATTATTATATTATATAAGCAAATTTTAGTGTTGAATTAAGTTTTTCTTATATCTAATTACCATAAAATTTACCATTCCTCTCTGCGCATTTATTTGGCTGGTTGTTTTAGCTTCCTCTTTTGATTTATTTAATATTTTATTTTATCTCAAATTAATATGGCTGTTGATGCTTAACACTCAAAAATACTATTGTTATTTAAAGAAATTAATTTCAAAACCATTTAACTGCATGATAATATGACCTTTTCGCAGCGTTTATAACGCGTTTCATCTTTTTTGTCTTAATTTTAAAAAATTAAAAAAACTGGTTTTAAATTATGATTCGATAGTTGGTCACTGCATTATAAAGGTTTCTTGTTACTTTATTAAATTAATGATTTCTGCTCTGTTTTATACGTTTGTCATCATTCTTTGAAAAATCTTTTGTTTGAAGTTTAATCGCGCGCTGAGAGATATTGCTTTGTTTATCAGTGATGTTGACTATTGATAGTAATGTTGTGCATCTTTGCGATGATAATAAATTTGTTTAATTATTCTGTAAAATTATTCTTTTGTCTGTTACTTTAGCTATTACGAGCAATTTTTTTTCTTCAGTTTGTATAGTGCTGATGATATTGTACTTTTTATTTAACAATAACTTATTACTTATTCATTTAACTTTAATTATTTGCTGTTTGAAAAGAACTTTTTATTGTTGCGCATCCTATTTATCTCCCTTTTTCCTTCCTTTCTTTTGACATGATCCTATAATCTGGTATTGAATTTAAATATTTAGTGTCTGGCCAAGTTTGATGTTCGATATATTTCTAATTCAGTTATTTATCAATATTGTTTAAGTAGCAGTACGGAAGTGAGATGTGTTTCATCAGATATGACGCATTCGCATTACGAACCCGAACCTTTCTGAAGTGATTTCCGTCTCTTTACTTCCTAGATAGCCTTTATAATGTACTGTACTGTACGTATACTATCTCCAGAACTGAACGAACTTATATTTAATTATTGTGCTTTGTCACGAACATTTGAAATATTTGTTTGGCTGATTATAGGAAAATTAATCTTACCAAAGTCTGTTTGTAGATTTAATATTTTCTACTAAAATTGTTGAAATTATCAGTTAGGTACATCGTTTTTAATCGTATTGAAGTAAACTAGTCACATTTATTGTGAATGCGAGGAAAAGTGCACATTTTCATTTCAATGACAATTAAGATAAATTTCTTGCTTTCGACAGTAGGATATTGGGAACTTTAACAATATTAATCTGTTTGTAGAGTGAAAAATATAAAACATATTTCAATAATATTAAACTCAAATAGATACTTTATACTATATTGTATTGTACAGTACACTCCTATTGTATTTGACAGATAACTTTGCTAGTAAAAATAGAAGTTTGCTTATCATTATATTCTCAAGATTACGTAGTACAATAATAGAGATATGCCATGTTACTATTCAATCTTTTATTGAAAATTTATAGTGGCATAAAATTTAAGCTTTTATTATAGCATGCCGGAATATTTTAGGACTTTAACAAAGATAAATACATTTATATCCGAATTAATAATTTATATTATTAATTACAACTTAATGCCTTTTTTTCTGTAATAATTTTAAATGGAAGGAAATGTGATTTTATTAATTAATAATCATAACATATGCCATTTTAATTTATTGTGAATTTATCCATAAAATCTTTCTACGTACTTTAATTAAGTAACATTAATATTTTTATTTGGTTATAGTATTTAAATTCAAAAAATTATTTTCGTAATTTTTTAATAACTTCTGTTTGAAAAAAATGACTTTCTTGTACAATTAAAACACAAATTAGTGGGAATTTTAAAAGAAAACCCATTACATTATATGGTGTATTGCTTATCATTGTTTCGGATAATCTTAGTAAAATTAAGAGCAAAGTTTATTGATTTCTGATCTTCAACAATGACATTTGCATCGATATAAACGATTCGATGCATCATCTTTCGGGTGATGGCAACTGCCATAGTTTTATTCAAAATCATATCTTAGGCCACGATCATACATCAATCACTACTAGTGACTGATAACATTATTCAAATTTTTATTTTGAAACTAGTGATCCATCATACGGTAACAATAAATATCATCAAAAAGGATAATTTTGCTATATACTGTATACCATTATTATATATGACCAATTAATTTCAAAAATCAGAAAAATATAAATTATCTTAACAGCAAAACTGCGAAATTTGTTTCTTAAACTTTTATTTAGTAAATAGCATTTAATTCCCTAGCGCCATCTGTAAGCTAATTTGGGAATTATGTAGAGAATTTGGGGTTTTTTTTCTTTCTAAGAATTGAAGTTTTGTTTAATCATGTTAAAAAATAATAATTTTTAATAGTATCTAAATTAAACTTAAATTAAATGCTATTGCATGGCTATATGTTTTTATAGTATTGTTTTACTATTATTATACGACAATCAGATATATATTTATGAGCAGCATCAAAAATATTAACGCATATTTTATATATAGCATATATATATATATATATAATATGCGTTAATATTTTTGATGCTGCTCATAAATTTAACAAAACTACATTTAATTCGTTAATTTCTCGTTATTTTTTTACATCTGATATATGTATATTAGTTGTATATAGAGTTAAAGTTGATTTATAATACTATATATACATATATAGTATTATAAATCAACTTTAACTCTATATATTAATACTTTAACATATTAATATATTTTTAAATTTTAAAAGAAGGAAGATAACTGAAAGATAAATGCTGTATATAGTAACTAGAAAATCAAAATAATAACATGATTATAGAAGAATTTTACATATAAATAATTTTCTGTACAATAAAAATTTTATAAATGTAATATTATAAAACATAGAAATTTAGATTTTATATACAAATATTACAGTTAATCTGAAAAACACTTTTCTCTTTTTCGGTTCTTGTTACAGACGAACTTTATAAATATTGCTAAAATTTTTATTGTATTTTATTTTGCAGATGTTGATGATAGAAGAAAGTGATAATTATGATATGTTTACTCCCATAGAAAGAAGGGAATTTTTGTTTAGACTCTTCGCGCATCTCTGTTTAGGAGGAAACTTATGTCAATACGAAGATTACATTAACGACTATCTTAACGTCGCCAAGCAAATGTACAAGGATATTGTTAAGTACGTAATAGCAATCTAAATTTACTTTATTTATATTATGTACGGAATTATTTACTTTATTTTATTTTAGTGTGCAAAAAGATCCTGAAACTAAAGAGATTAGAGTCATATCAATTATTGCGAAAGTTAATTGTTATGTGAGTATACTAACATTTTCCATTTACTTTATTTTTAACAATAAAATTAATGTTTTAAACACTTTTACAGAATGATAATGTTAAATATTATCCATCCAGTTATGATCACTTGCAGAATTTTGCTTATTTAATAATTGATCCTATTAAACAGCACGTCAACGTATTTTCACATGTTTGGAATTGAAAAATAAAATTTAATACAGCATTTATTGATTTTTCTTGCAACATATAACTTATTTATAAAGTTAAAAACCGAATTAATTCACTGTATATTTAAATAATATTCATCCTTACGTCTTCAATAGTAGAACCTATTTATTCTTAGCCTATATAAAATATTTATGTAACTATTGATATTTAAACGTTGTAAAATAAATTTATAGTTTATTATTTTTATCAAATTAGATGATAATTTATATTGTAACAGCACTTTTGAAGAGAATATATGCTCAAATAACATTGAAGTATAATTATTAAATATAAAATGCATACTTTTTGTAAGAATAATGACGTAAAAGACTTTTTACATCATTTCTATATTTTCTTTCATGGGAAAGTGCAAAATGACGTCAAATTGAAATGATAGCGTAGAGTATATTATACTTACATACCTGACTCGTCTGACATTTTGGATCTTAGACACAGTATTTCTTATTTAACAATTGTCTGAGTCGCGATTTTAATGCGCGATTTTTGCAATTGTTTTTTTTAGATTATGTTAACAGTAGCCGTTGCGCGGCGCAATCACCTTGCTAATATATACAATATAGTCTGAATTAAATTTCTTTTATGTTTCAATGAAGATTGTACAGCAGAGCGTCGTTTATCCGAATCAATTGGGGACTGAGGATGTTCGGATAACTTATTTTTCAAATAACCGATTATATACGAAAAAATAACCAATTCCATGTTGAAATTTTTCTCCGTTGCGTGTCGCTTCGCGTTGAATTTTCGTCGATGTTAAGCCTAACGTAAACTTTTTAAAATAATAATCGTGTCTATTGTATCGTTAAAAATTATTTCTTCCTTTTTACAAACAAAATAAATATATTGAAAAATATAAAAACAAAAAAAATTATACTTGAGAAGTTAATCTAGTATCAAAAACGTTTGATTCAGCACGACACACAGTCTTCAGAAAAACACCACACAAAAGTGTCAGTGCTGCCAGCTAAAAAACACACATCAACAAAAAAAAATATTGGAGTAGCGAAAGATATATCCAAAGATTGCAGCGCCACAGCACTAGCGAAAAATTTAAATTTGCCGACTGGAATTATTTCGGATAACGGACGTTTCAGATAACCGACTTTTGGATAAATGACGCTCTACTGTACTTGTTTTCGCTCCTGTAACACTCCGTAACGCGTCGCACATATCCATCCTCAAAATTACGTAACCCATATCTTATACCCCTTAATACTAAGGCATAATAAGTTTACACAGCACAAGGTACTGAAACTATTGTTTTATTAATTACGTACAAAACAGTGACATATACAATAGGGTTTGCTATCTACCCTTGGAAACAAACATGAATCATTCTATTACACAAGGGTTGAGATTGCTACTATTATCTAACGTTTTTGTTAATACCCTTACTCCCTTGTAAGGCATTGTAACTACAGTAGAGCGTCATTTATCCGAAACACCAGTTATCCGAAAGAATTCCAATCGGCAAATTTAAATTTTTGCTAGTGCTGTGGCGCTGCAATCTTTGGCTATATCTTTCGCTACTCCAATATTTTTTTTGTTGATGTGTGTGTTTTACCCGGCAGCACTGACACTTTTGTGTGGTGTTTTTCTGAGGACTGTGTGTCTTGCTGAATCAAACGTTTTTGATACTAGATTATTAACTTCTCAAGTATAATTTTTTTTGTTTTTATATTTTTCAATATATTTATTGTGTTTGTAAAAAGAAAGAAATAATTTTTAACGATACAATAGACACGATTATTATTTTAAAAAGTTTACGTTAGGCGAAAATTCAACGCGAAGCGACACGCAACGAAGAAAAATTTCAACATGGAATTGGTTATTTTTTCGTACATAATCGGTTATCCGAAAACAAGTTATCCAAACAACCTCAGTCCCCAATTGATTCGGATAAACGACGCTCTACTGTATTATCTGCGTACCCACGAACCCATATCTGCGTTTCGAAATTTATGGACAGTTCTTATGTTTATAAAACAAAGAATAATTTAAAATTAATTGCATTGGTTGGCTACGCGTGAGACGGATACTTGAGATTAAAAAAATTATATAATGTAACAATTTTAATTAAAAAATCACTTTAAAAAATTTAGAAAGTAAATTTTCGAAGTGAGAGACAAATAATAGCGACTCCTCCGGTTTGCTGGAATGTTTATTTTCAAAAAAATTTAAGCTTCTGGCTTATTTTAAGTTAGTATTATTATTACTTTATTACACTATCGTGATACATCTGTTCTTTTTTATCCATTAGCTCATAGTGATAAGCATTAATTTCATTTTAATTAAGTTTTTGTTACATGTTTTTATAGATAAACAAAGCGTAATGTGATTTAAAATAAATCGTGATTAATATTATTTAAAAAGATTATACCTTAAAACTTATTAAATTACTTTAAAGCTACTTATTTACTTTTTCAACAATTTAATGAAAGAAAATAATTAGGTATACTACACATAAATATTTAGTTATATATACATAGAAAGTTAAAAAACATTATGAATAGAAGACAAATTGTTCTGAAGAGAAGTTCGCTCTGCTAATTTTGTTATGAAGTCACTTAGATAATAATGGCCAATAATGACTTAGTTCTTGCACGTTTGATATTTTTCAGTCATCAAATAAAACTGTGTTAAGACTGTAGCAAATTTTCATTTTTTTGTTCCAGAGTAGGAAGTGTTATTCCCCAAGTGCTTATGCGTAAAAATATATAAAATAGTTATTATTTCCTTCAAACTTTGCTCTTGTAACAGGAAAGCAATACAGGAATTTGCATCTCTTCGTTTATATAAAATTACAGAAAACAAAAATGTTTGTTTATTATAAAGTGTTTGTAAAATTGACCACAAAAGATTTATAAGTCAGTGATTTTTCGAGATTTACAATCGTAAATTTCGAAATCATTCTATCCAAACAAAAACATTGCGTCAAGTAAAAAATTATGACAATTTAGATGGCAGTCAAATTTTTCTTTTTGGCACTTCGAAGAGAAATGCAGAAAGAAACAATTAAAATGTTGTGGATACCGGTTCGAAGCGCCAAGCTGATATTTACCAAAGAAAAACTAAGAAAAAAATTTTAATTGTTATAATTTTTTACTTGGAGCAATTATTTTACATCTCAGATGTTTTTGTTTGAATATCAGTTGATTTTGGCTAATAATTGTGTAAAACCCAAGATGATGATGTACATTGTGCCATTAGTAAAATCGTTATAATCGTTTAATTCGCATAAATTTGGGTTTTGTTATTCTGGATAAAAAACCCAAATTTGAATAAAAATCATTTGTTTCAATGCAATCCATACAAGCATAAAATTAAGCGATAAAACTGAAATATCTGTATGGAAAACCCCGTGAACTTTGACCTATCGAACCGAAAGATTCGCGAACGCCTCATTGATAACGAGAAAGACTTAAGTTTAAAACTTGAACTTTCTAGACCCAGTAGTTTTTCTCTAGGGGCGTGTAAAGTGCCGGATGAAGAAATGGGAGAAGAAAATACAGTTTTTTGGCGATTTTTGAACTTTTTAATTGCTTATATTTCGACAACTGCATTACAGAAAATCTTGAAATTTTGCACACTATCCAAGAAAACAATTTCCTTTAGAACGAGATATTTGGAATTATCTCAGGTGTTTGGGGGACGGAGAAATCGACCCCGAAAATCAGCAACTCTGATTCCTGTATATAGTCAGTCAGTGACTTTTATTTGGCGGGGAGTCACTACTATGGGCGCCTAAGTTTACTCCGAGTCCAGGAAAAAAATCCTCTCGACCTTGTACACAACAATAACTGCTGCGTTTGTAGAATTCCGTCGGATGGCAATTATGTAAAAATGAATTTGAAGACAAACTCTGTCCAAAAAAGGAACCACCATTTATTCATTTTTAGTGTTCCGGAATACAAACTTTTGACGACCGACGTTTTTTTTTTTTGTAGGCTACTTGGCCATCAAAATTAAAACGTTCTTTAAAAACACAAAAAATATCCAATTAAAAATACAAATTTAAAAATTGGAACTGGAGATATTACAGACATCTTTCCTTTCATCCTTACCACTTGGAGATGTTAGAGCTTTATATCTACAGGAAAATAGGCGCTGGTAAAATGTAGCTGGTGGAGAGTTTATTCATTTTTAATTAGAACTAGGATTCGTGTAAAAAATGTACAAGCGTCTAGCACAGGGGTCGGCAACCTGCGGCTCGCGAGCCACATGCGGCTCTTTGGATATGAAGCTGCGGCTCTTTAGTTCCATACGCAAATATTTATTTTATCAAAAAAAAAACATTTAAAAATCGTTCTGAATCGATTAACGAGGATTAGGCACCGATTCTATCTCTCAGCCACTTGTACTCGCTTTTCACCGCACCCCTCCCCCGTGACACGCGTCGTCACTGTCGTCAGTCCGTCGGAAGCTCTCGAATGACGCCGTCGTCGGATGTTTCTATTATTTAATTTGTTGTGAAAAACACTACTTATATATGAATAAATAAATATTTTTTCTTATGAATAAATAGATTAGTTTTTTTTTATCAAAAAACTTTATTTATGCGAGTACTATTTATTGTTCGCAAGAAAAAATTTTGTGGCTTTAAAAACTTTGAAATTTTGTAAATTGTAATTTTGGCTCTTCCGACTCAAAAGGTTGCCGACCCCTGGTCTAGCACCTAAAAATCAAAGTTATGATTTATCCTAATTTTTATTTTCTTTTCCACAATACACTTTCAAATCGTTGGCAAGCCTTCAGCATCTCTAGCGGTCAGACATTTGTCCATTAATCTGCTTTTGTAAATTTCAATTTTCTCCAAGTTTATTGCTAAAAATGGCGAGTGTATTGGTTTGATGATGTCTGTTTCCTCCCATTTTACGACCGAGCCTTCAGTTTGTGCCATTAGATAATGCCGTGTAATTTTATCTTTCTTCCACGTTTTATCTGTTCTTTAAAAGGTATGGAAAGGTTTCTATTTGTGACGCTGATCTATTCCTATTTGAGTCTTTGCTGTTCATTTTCATGTGGTATTCTATACATTCCCGCTTGTTCATCCATTTTTTTATAATTTTTTTAGAAGCTTGTAAATCATGGACGCTCTCTTAAAAAATTATATAGGAAAGGAGGAGTTAAAATCAGTTCCGAATTTCTATAGTCATTCAAAATGCATTTCTTATGTTTACTATAAGTGAACTTCGAGATCCCGTTCTTTTTTCTTTTTGTTCGTTGTTTTCTTTATAACTTCTAATCAATTATGGTTCTTCTATAATCCAACATTACAGCAATTTCTGTAATTCTATACAACTTATCAAGTCTGTCGTATATGCTGGAGCAGTACAGGAAAGCCCTTCTAATAAGAGCTCGAAATGCTGATATTTTGTATATGTAAAGATCATTAGAACAAGAGGGAATATATAGCGGATCGTGCATAGATTTAATGTAAACCCGTGTATTTAAATTTCTATTATTAAATGTGATATCAATATCCAAGTGTAAGACACATACATTTCATGGGTAAGAAAGTTTGACCCTCCGAGTTTTTGCAAACCTCCACGTTATGAAATGATCTTGGTTCAATTTCGCACAGGAAAAGGTAGTAGTAATTTTTTGTTTTTTCGGTTCTTGTTAGTTTTTCGCTGGTCGAATAATAGTATTTAAGAAAAATGATATACAGTAGACCCCCTATAATGCAGATTCCTATAACGCGGCGAAAAAATTGCGACGGTATTCGTATAAAGACGCTAAAAGGGACGCGTAAAACGTCATCGCCGATTCGTGTCGCGACAGGATTGATCAAATCTGGACCAATAGTAGACGAGCAGCCGAACTACTTACACGCTACAGAGAGTTTAGATAGGTAAGTTGAGTTTATTATCGTCTGTACAGTATGTAAATTAGGTACCGCAAGTCTAATACAGCACTGTAATTTTATACATTTCTTGTGAAAGAAACATTTCTTATTCAACGGCCATAAAAATTATTTATATTAATGATGTCTCCAAAGTTCAACAAATTTTTCACAGAAAAATAACTTATCAGAAATCGCGGCCGCCGTTTGGTGCGCTGCTCCGCGACGAAAACAAGCTTAAGCAATGGCGACGTCGAACGGTGCACACTCGGTAAGTAATCCTACAATTTTTTGTTTATAGCATA